CTTGAAATCCTACTGCAAGGGGGGGGGGGCAGTGAGCAAAACGTTCTGTGGACGCAGCAGGCGGTGCATGGAGAGCACAGGTAGGGTGTGAGCGTGAGGCTTTTTGGTAATGGCATAACCATGACTTATGGGCCGTATATATGGAAAAGAGCATGCCTCGCTGTGCAGTAAACTCACCACCATTTCAGAAGAACTCAAAGAGTTCAGAGAGCTGTTGCACACCTAGGGGATGCCAACAGCACGCTTGGCAGCCAGCAATCAAAGTCCTTTGAAAGGGAGTCTTACAGCACAGCTTCAAAGGTATCATCAAGTTGTGCAAACAGTTCCTGTGGCTGGAAACAAAAGGGAACAGCCTTAGCCTACTGGGAGCAGCTAGTGGGCAATCTCTTTGGGGGCTCTAATGGGAAAATATCACCACATATCACAGCATTTTTGAAAATAGATGCAAAGGTATCTCTGGACACCAGACCCAAAGCTATCCCAGGGCTCCTCACTAGGAAGGGTCTAGACTGTCCCATCCAATGTCATTCATAATGCTTTGGGCCAGAAGTCAAAACAGTGCTGGTTCACTGAGTCTATAATCTCCAGCTTAACACCCGATATCTTCTGTTCAGCTTCATGAAGCAGGTAGATCAGCAGACCTCACATAGAATACTAATGGAAACTAAGTGTCGTTGAGAGCTTACTAAGCATGGGGCCAAGGGCCATACTTGCAATGTCTCGTCTGATCCTCACAGAGATTCTCTGAGCTTGGTACTCTAATTCTTCCTATTTTGTGGCTGAGGAAACAAGGCCTTTGAGAAGTAACGTGCTCAAAGTCACCCGACAACAGTGGTAGAACTAGAACCAACAGCAATCCTAACTATTGCCTTAGATCACCACCATTGACACCTTAGAATTGTTTCATTATGTTTTGAATCATATTTTTCAGTGGGGAATACTTTCTGAAAAAGCCCTTTATGGAATTTAACTACAGGAATGTTATCTTTAAAAACAGTATTTCTGAGAAGTTCCTTTGAAACTAGAGTTTGAAAACTGATAGAACCAGCAATTGTGACCATGGGTATTATGGTCCTGGAAGCAGTCCATATTGTTTTCTTTAAAGATTCATGTCTCAAACTCTGCATAATTAAAATTACATATGAAATTGGCAGAGAATCATGTTAGTATATAAGGTAAGAGCGAACATGCTCTATAGGCATTTGACAATGAAAGCCAGGTATAGACAAATAAAGGTGCTGCAGGTCTCTGGTAGGCACAAGCAGTTAGTTCTCAACTAACATACAGGTTGGTGGTTCAAACTCATCCAGAGACACCACAGCAGAAAGGCCTGGTGATTGTTTTCATAAAGATCACAGCCAAGAAAACCGTATGGAGCTCATTTCCACTCTCTGACATATGAGACTGCCGTGAGGCAGAGTCAACTCAGAGGAAAGGGGTTTTGCTTTTCGGAAGTGGATTTGCCCTGAAGTTTAGAGAATTTCTCTAAGACAGCGTCTCTCAAAGTGTAGTTCCAAGAACATCTATTTCAGAATCACATTTGGCTCTTGTTAAAAATGCAGCCCTTGAATTTGAGCCTGGAAACCTGTGTTTTACCAATTTGCCCAGAAGATTTCATGCACAGCAAAGTTGAAGAACATTTGATATAAACTGTAGTTATTTTGTTAGGTGTCATCGAATCGGCTCAGACTCAGCAAACCTATGTGCAGCAGGTCCTGCCCCATCCTCACGATCTTTGCTCTGCTGAAGCCAACGGTGGCCATCACTGTGTCAATCTATCTCATTGAAGGTGTTCCTCTCTTTTGCTGATGCTCTACTTTACCAAACATGATGTCCTTCTCCAGAGAGTTGTTGTTGTTGTTGTGGTTGTTATGTGCCATCGAGTCGGCCCTGACTCATAGCAACCCCTCCTTGGGTTTCCAAGGCAGTATCACTATGGAATTAGATTGCCCAACCTTCCTTCTGAGGAGTGGCTGGTGAGTTAGCAGTCTGGTTAGCAGTCAAGTGCCTTGGGCACTACGCTCCTGTCCTAATAACACATCCAAAGCACTTGATACAATGGCTCACCATCCTCACTTCCAACGAACGTTCTAGCTGTATTTCTTCCAAGACAGATTGGTGCATTTCTTCTGGCAGTCCATGGTACATTTAATATTCTTCAACAACATGGTTCAAAGGCATCACTTCTCCCTTATTCATCATCCATCTTTCATAGGCATGTGAGGCTATTGGAAACCTTGGCCTGGGAGAGGTTCACCTTAGTCCTCAAAGTGACTTTTGTTTGTTTTTCTCCCCACCCTTTCCTTCCTCAGAACTTTATTTTTTGACAAATGCTGCCCTTTTGAATCAAACTGTAAACAGGCCTAGAAAGTGAATAGCAACACAAGGGAGTAATGTATTCCTCAGTACAATGAATCTATGAGACCAAAAGGACATCTTTGCTTTTGAACACTTAAACGAGGTCTTTGGCAGTAGATTTACCCAATGCAATGTCATTTGATGTCTTGACTACTACTTCCATGGGTGTTGATTGTAGATCCAAGTAAAATGAAATCCTTGACAGCTTCAGTCTTTTCTCTGTTTACCATTATGTTGCTTATTGGTCAAGTTGTGAGGATTTTGTTTTTCTTTATATTGAAGTGTAATCCATACTGAAGGCTGTAGTCTTTGATCTTCATCAGTAAATGCTTCAAGTCTTCTTCCTTTCAACAAGCAAGGCTGTGTCCTCTGGATATCACGGGGTATTAATTAGTCTTCCTCCAATCCTAATTCCACATTCTTCTTCATATCATCCAGCTTTTTGATTTGCTCAGTACACAGATTCAGTAAGTATGGTGAAAAGATACAACCTCGATACACAGCTTTCCTGATTTAAAACAATGCAGTATCCCCTTGTTCTGTTCACAACTGCCTCTTGGTCTATGTACAGGTTACACATGATCATAATTAAGTGTTCTCAAATTCCCATTCTTCACAATGTTATCCATAATTTGTAATGCTCCACACAGTCAAATGCCTTTGTATAGTCAATAAAACACAGGTAAACATCTCTCTAGTACTCTTTGTTTTCAGTCAAGGTCCATCTGATATCAGCAATGATACCTCTCATTCCATGGCCTCTTCTGAATACAGCTTGAATTTCTGGAAGTTTCCTGTCCACGTACTGCAGCAATTGGTTTTGAATTATCTTCAGCAAAATTTTACTTGTGTGTGATATTATTCAATAATTATCACATTCTGTTGTATTACCTTTCTTTGGAATGGGCATAAATATGGATGTCTTCCAATCAGCTGGGCAGGTAGCAGTCTTCCAAATTTTTTTGGCATAGATGAGTGAGAGTTTCTAGTGTTGCATCGGTTTCTTGAAATATTTCAGTTGGTATGACTTGAAGCCTTGTTTTTCACCAATGCTTTCAGTGCAACTTGGATTTCTTCCTTCAGCACCATCAGATCTTGATCATATGCTACATCTTGAAATGACTGGACATCAACAAATTATTTTTCATACAGTGACTCTGTGTCTTCTTTTAATGCTTCCCACATTGTCCAACATTTTGTGCATGGAATCTTTCAATATTTCAACTCAAGGCTTGATTTTTCTCTTCAGTTCTTTCAGTTTGAGAAATGCTGAGAGTGTTCTTCCCTTTTGGTTTTCTAATTCCAGGTGTTTGCATATTTCATTATGATACTTTACTTTGCCTTCTCAAGACATTGAAATATTTTGTTCAGCTCTTTTACTTCATCATTTCTTCCATTCACTTTAGCTACCCTTCATTCTCCAGCTTTGTTTCTATCACCAAGACCATATCATCCAGGTACCAATCCTCCTTCTTTGTTTCTGACTTTCATATTCCAATCACTAGTAATTATCAGTGCATATTAATTGCATGTTTGAACAATTTCAGACTGTACTAGTTGGTAAAAATCTTCAAAATCTTCAATTTCTTTCATCTAGACCAGAGTAACTAATCTGGTTTCTGCCAGAGGTTAGGAAAGTGATATAAGGAATAACAAAATTCAAGGTGAGGGAAGACACGATCTCTATAATTCCCTACAGAGACTGGTCCACCCCAACTTCCGGAAGCAGCCTGCATCACCACACATGTGGTGCTTTGTATATAAACAGAGCAAGCAGTCAAGGTCGCAAGGGATTTGAAAAGCCTCTAGACTGTCAGGGTATGCAAATGTATCTCCTCAAAACAGTTTTCTGAGAGTCATGATTAGAGACTATTACATTTCAGTGACTACATTTTTAGCAATGTATTGTTTTTTGTTTTTGTGTTTCCGTTCCAACTCTTCCTTTTGGCTTTCTTTGAAAACGAATGTAAGAGGAAAAATAAACTTTGGCATATATTTCACTATTTCTAAAAAGATAGGATTGAATGGGATATTATTAGTCAAACTCTCTTTAGGATGTGTTAGCTCCTTTTGCTTTTGATAAAACACACAACGTAGTGGTTATTAGCTCTGTTTTGCACATGCAGAGACTGAGGTCAGTGTTTTGCCCAAACCACAGTTACTAAGCATCAGAACCATTCATTCATTCATTCAACAAACATGTTCTGACTGAGTACTCTGTGGTGGACCCTGGGTGCTGGGATTACAGCAACGAGTAAGACACACGTGGTTCTTGTTCTCATGGACCTTGCATGCTACTCATAGATATAAAAGGATCTGGTCGTAGTTGCCTGACCGAAAGTCCAGGCTACACCACCTTTCTATCATGATTCCCACCACTGTCACACAGCCCCTTACAATCTCAGTCTTCCTGCATCCCCTGCCTGTGCAAGTGAGGCTATCACAGGACTCTGGCAACCTAGATGAGAGAAAAAGTGCTGAAAGTAGAGAAAGAAAACGTAAGGAGAGAGGAAAAGGGTAGAGAGGGAAAAAGTCAAAACAGAAAAGCCACAGCCACTCCTCCACTGATTTTGTCATTCTGCTTTGGTTCCTGGCTGGCCTTGCTCCACGTAACACTTCCTCCTTTCTTACCACCATTGCAGCAGCAGTGTTGGCGTGTTCTCCTGTGGACCCAAGGCTCTCTCAAAGACCCTTCAGAAGATGTGCCGCCTGTATTCTTCAGCTGACCCCAGGGGCGTTCAATTTTATTACAACAAAGAAAGCTTCTAGACTTTGCAGACAAAGTCCAGGTATTGTGTAAGTGACAAAAATCATAGAGGTCAGGAGTTGAGAAACTTTTCTTTGCAGGGCCAGATGGGAAATGTTTTAGACTTTGGCAGCCATAAGATCTCAGTCTCAACTACTCAGCTCCACAAAAGCAGCCAGAAAAAAATATGTAAATGAATGGATATGGCTGTGTCCCAACAAAACTTTATCTGTAGATACAATGAAATAGACTTTCATATTAATTTTCATATGTCATAAAATAGTTTGACTTTTTTCTCAACTATCTGAAAATGTGGGAGCTCTGGTAGCATAGTGGCTAAGGCACTTGACTGCTAACCAGAAGGCTGG